CAATTAGCAAAAATGGTGATGATTACATGCTCCTTCATGTTGAAGGGACCAGGGTTCAATCTGAATCGCCACCCCAGAAGACTGTACTCCGTTTCGGGCAGAGTCCTCGCCATGAACTTGCCAATGGGTAAAACGGCGATTTGCATTAGGATTGCAGAGATGGTGAGGGGCTGAGTACGGTAGGTGAAGAAAGTGTTGAGGAAGATTAAGATGGTGCAAGAGGTCAGACCCAGAAACCATGCTCGGAAAGTCATGACGGGTAGGGACGGGTCGTCGGTTTCCGGCACCACTAACTTCACCTCCTCCACCGGACACCAGCCTTCATCCCCATTCGGCTTCTCCACGTCTGTTTGGTTCCTAGTAATAGCGGCCATTGACGCAAGAAAAGACAAGGAAAACTGAAGTCAAGTGAGCTTTTAGCACTCTCTGTATGAAGCAGGCGGCTTTATAAGGGGGAGGAAGAGAAAGGATGCGTAAGGACGACAATGCCCCTTGGTTCGATGCTGACTTATCTTTGGATTGGTTTAAACCGGTCTGCGGTTTGATTTTCGGCCTTCTGACTGCTGACTGTTGACTGCTGAGTGCTGACTGCTATTGACCTCATCATGAATTTTTTGTGACGATAATACCCTTTTTGGGAAAAACCAAATTAAAAATAATTTATTAACAATAACGCCATTGTTTATTGTCTATATTTAACTATTAACGAGTTGAACTTGTGTGTAAGACAAGTCTAATGCTGAAGTCAGGGTTTGTTTTTGTACAAGTTACCATTAATTAAGAGCTAAATGTCAAGAATGGTTCTCTCGACAGATAGTACAAGTTCTTTAGACTTGCTGGGTCTAGTTAAAACCTTCACCACTTGAGCAAGATGGACAATGAATGGAATTCCACCAAGTGGCCGATGACTATGTGCCTCATTGAGGTTGGTGATTTGTTTACCAGATCTGAGAATCGAATTTTCAATTGCTAACTTCTAATAATACTAACTTACTAACCATTATCTTTATAAAAAAAAAAAAAAAGATGGACAATGAATATATATTATTTTTAGTGAAGCTAACATGACTATAATTTTTTTTTACAATGTAGTTTTTGTAATGACCACTTGCACATGTGATAGTTGCATTTAATTTTAAAAAATTATTGAGTTATGGTGACATTTTTGTTTTTTTTACAATGTGTGTAAGGTTTATTTAAACTATAGTTAAGCACATATTAATAATATAATAAATATATATTTTTAATATTTATACACATAAAAATAAAAAAGGTTGATTTCAATTTTGGCATCTATGCTACTTGGATGTTTTTAATTAAATAAAAATTTTCAAATAAAATTATTGGTTTTTCTAAAGACACATATTATATTGAAAAAAATAAAAATTAATTTTAATGTTATTAATTATTTAATTAAAGTTATAGATGTGTTATTAATATTGAAATAAAATTAATTTTTATACTTTTTTTATATAAATTA